CTTTATTGGGCACTGATCACTTTATTGGGCACTGATCACTTTATTGGGCACTGATCACTTTATTGGGCACTGATCACTTTATTGGGCTCTGATCACTTTATTGGGCACTGCTCACTTTTTTGGGCACTGATCACTTTATTGGGCACTGATCACTTTATTGGGCACTGATCACTTTATTGGGCACTGATCACTTTATTGGGCACTGATCACTTTCTTGGGCACTGATCTCTTTATTGGGCACTGATCACTTTCTTGGGCACTGATCATAGGGAGCTTAAATAATTCAATGAATCATACTTTTTTTTTTTTTAAATTATTATCATTTTTTACTATGTACTCACATGCTAAAGTAGGGTGCACCATCTTAAAGAATTCAAGCTAATCTTTAATTGTATTGACTTGCAATATCTTTTTTTATGCTTTTTTTATATGTATCATAGAGATCAAAATCCTACAATTTGATCTTAAAGGGGCGTAATCTCCTCATCTAGTAAGAAGTATTTATTTTAAATGAGTTATCTCCATTTTAAAGCGTCCCCCCCCCCCCAAACCCCCATCACTGAGCACAAAACCTAACAAGTCTGGTCAAGAATTTAATGGCACACCTAATCTGGTGGTAATAATCACGTATCAAGACTTTTGCTCGTGTTTACCTTGTGGCCATCATTACTGGAGTCAGAGAATAATGCTAATAAAATAGTTGCAATATGTTCGTTTTTTTCCCAATTCCTACAGATGACTGCTATTTTGACAAGGGTCGATGGTACAATGGTACAGTGAATGTCACAAAATCTGGCCATACCTGCCAGCGGTGGGAAGACAAGTCTCCTCAAAAACATGATCGCTCCCCCTTGTATTTCCCGGAGCTGTACGCATCCGACAACCACTGCCGCAACCCTGGCGGTGAAGAGAGGCAGCCGTGGTGCTACACAACGAACAAACTGGTCAGATGGGAGGTTTGTGATATTGACCCATGCGGTAGGTCATCTCTTAATATTCACTTTAGACTTTGAATTGTACTTGTAAAGGGTTTTTTAATTTATTTTCAGTCTCAAGTACTTGGTATAAGTGTATTTTTCCTCATATTCTATCCAAATGAAAGTATTGATTCTGTAAATTGTCATAGTTTAAAGATATTGATTAATCCATTTACCCCTGGAAGTGATAAGTGGATGATAGAGAGGTGAATTGTTAATAAAAGTGGCCAATTAATGATAGAATGGTAAACTGATATTATGGTAAATTGATGACAGAAATGGTAAGATGGATTATTGAAATGAGGAACTACTGTTAGAGTTATTCGTTTGAGAAATTCATAAAAATGTGGGTAGGAAAGTTTAGTCATCAGATTTTTTGTGTGGTTTATTTTACAAAGATGGCCGTAAGATGGCTGTAAGATGGCCGTAAGATGGCTGTAAGATGGCTGTAAGATGGCCGTAAGATGGCCGTAAGATGGCCGTATTATGAAACAAAAGTGCACAAGTACTTAAGTTCGTGGAACGTTTTAGTTTTACACTCAAAAGAGCTTTTTACTAGAATTTCATGTTACCTATTCAAGGATTAAAATGTAATGCTATAGTTGTATAATTGACCATTCCATCTACCTATGACCTTAAAATTGACCATTCCATCTATATAGGACCCTGTTTGACCACAAGCTGCCTCCTTCCATCCTCCTGTCTATCCATTTATCTTAAACTGCGAATTTCCCCCCCCCCCCCGAAGGTAATGGTGACACTAATAATACATTGTATTATATGTGGCAGAAGTTTATCTCCAAAAAAATGTTCATTCTATTTCTATCTTTCATCCTCTGCTACCATCATTACTTTTCATGCCATTGACCACCATCTTCTCTCATTTGATGGTTTTTGCTGTGTCTTCAATGCAGAGACGGCTAACATCCCAGCAGATGACATGACCAGAAGTGATGACATTGATGATGACTACCACGAGCAGCTCATCATTATCCTAGTCCCTGTCTTGTTCTGCTGCCTGCTCATCCCCATCATTGGTCTGCTAGTGAAATGGAAGAAAACCCAGTACAGCTCTACAACTCAGGATGATGTTGATATTGACGTGGAGAATTTACCCATCAACTCGGCTTATCATCAGGTGAAATTCAATTGACCTATTTGTGTTTAAGCAGTTGTTTAACAGAGTCGATGTTTTAGTTTTCAATGGTTGGATTCCATTAATCTGAATTCTCATTGTGACAAGAGATGGACATCATTTGTCTATAATCGAATTAGTCCTAGTCGTTAGAACATTGAGGAATCTTGATGATCAAGAATAGAACATTGAGGTGGTATCTGTACAAAATTAAATTTAAAACAATTTAATTAAAAATAAAATAAATAATAAATTTATTATTAAAAACATATATGAAAGAATTTACATCATTTATAATCCATATAAATATTTATATCCAAATCTTTTTGTGGCGTAAGAAATATTTTGCTGTATGAAATACACAAAGTCAGTTTAGTTTCTCAATATGTGTACATTTTATCCAGAAAATAAAAGTGTCGGTGTGCGGTTGAAGGAATGTTCAGCCGTACTTCCTGTTAATCATGAAGAGAAAAATTGCATCAATTCTTATTTGTTTATTGCTACTTACTAGCTAAATATTTTAAGGACAAAGAATTTATTTTCCCTTTTTTATTTTTATGCCCCATGCTTGCAAATGATATTTTCCTTTCACTAAGTTTCACTAACGTGCAGGTTGAATGTTTGGCTTGAGCATGAACATTGTTGAGTTTCTATGACTAATCTTAATATATTTCCCTTCAGATGAAATCCAACAGACTAAATCCCAAACTGGAGACCCTTGAGTTTCCAAGAAATGATATCGTCTTCATTGAAGATATCGGTCAAGGAGCTTTTGGACGCGTGTTCAAGGCCAGAATCGTTTGCAGCAACGGCAACTCCCACATCACGGGCGGCAAGCTCAGCGGCAGCAAGCACAGTCTAAGCTGTGGCAAGAACTGCAAGCACAACCGCAATCCTTTCACCAGCAAAGGAGATCTCCGCCACATAGACATCCACTCCAACTTAAAAAATATGGACGTTAAGCAGCTGGGGGAGCATTTGCTGTGTGACCATGAGAAGGAGGTCATCAAGTACAGTGAAGGCCAACTCATAGCCATTAAGATGTTGAAAGAAGATGCTTCGGATACCGTGCAAGCAGATTTTGAGAGGGAAGCATCCCTCATGGTCGAGTTTGACCATCCCAACATTGTGCGCCTGCTAGGTGTCTGCACGATTGGGAAGCCGATGTGCCTGCTGTTTGAATACATGAACAAAGGAGATTTGAATGAATTCCTCAGACTCTGTAGCCCTGACCAGTGTCTACGCAGAAGTGACGCAGGCTCTGTCCCGTCACTGGATGACGTCAGTAGTATAGACATTGTTGACCAGCTTCATATGGCTCGGCAGATTTGCAACGGGATGGTCTATCTCTCAGAACGAGGCTATGTCCATCGCGACCTAGCCACCCGAAACTGTCTAGTGTCCAACAGCCTCACAGTTAAGATTTCTGACTTTGGATTGGCTCGCAGTGTGCACAGCATGGATTATTACCACGGCAGTGACAAGGATGCCATTCCCATCCGATGGATGCCGCCCGAGGCTATTCTGTACAACAAGTTCTCCTCGCAGTCAGACGTTTGGTCATTCGGAGTCCTGTTGTGGGAGATTTTCTCGTTTGCCCTCCAGCCTTATTACGGCATGACACACGAGCAGGTGATCAACTACCTCCGTGCAGGACACATACTAGAACTGACAGAAAATGTGACATCTGTGGTGTACGACATCATGAAGTCATGCTGGCATAAAAAGCCAACATCACGACCCACGTTTGTTTCCCTTCACAAATCTCTGACTGTGCTCTATGAAGAACACAGCAAGCAGAAAGCAAGAAGTGCATTCAGTCTATGATGCAGTGCTCTATGAAGAACACAGCAAGCAGATAGCAAGAAGTGCATTCAGTCTATGCTGCAGGGCTCTATGAACAAAACATGTTAGAATTCAAGATGGGGGGATCCCATTGTGGACCAGAGTTTTGTGGCAGCTGGCCCAAACAGAATTTTTATTTTAAAGTCTTGCTCTTGTTATGCTGCAGCTGCATATGTTATTTAATGTGTGAATAAAACAACTATTTGTACATATATAAATAAATATTTATACTAAAGCATTGGTTTCTGCATTGGGCAAATATATTATTGGTCCAATACATTAACCTGCTTTATTTTTTCTCTCTAAACTAATCGACATTTTCAGAGAAATACCGTTTGAAGCACATGCCGCTATCTGCCTTTTAAAGAGATTGGTCATTGATCTTGCTCTATCGTGGTTACTGTTGCCACTGAAAAATTAAAGACAGTTCACTACAATTACTTGGATAGTAGTGGTGACCAATCAAATACAGTCTGCTACAAATACTTGGATAGAGTGATGACCAATCTAACACAGTCTAATACAAATACTGGGATAGAGGGGTGACCGATCTAATACAGTCTATTACAAATACTTGGATAGAGGGGTGACCAATCAAACACAGTCTACTACAAATACTGGGATAGTAGTGGTGACCATAACTACTTTTTGTTTCAAATGACATATTTAGTGTTAAAGTTAGGGCCAAGGGCCAATGAATGGTTGAGGCCACACCCCGTAACTTATTATGAGACAAAACTTAAACAGAAAGGCTCCAGGTTTTGTGGCATCTTCTGATGTGTCACTAATCAAACCCATTAAGACCTGGTGTTGTTTTAGTTGTAGGAATTGATTGTGCAAACCAGGTGGCCACTTGTCATGGCTAGGTTATTCATCTCAATAAAGTTCTTGGGTTTTGTCTGGGCCTGTAGAAGGACATTCTCCATACATTTGTGTAATGCCATACAAATAATGCACGGTTGGCTGCTCTAGTGTTTGCAGTGGTTAGTGTCATTGTTCTATGTTAGTACTGCCTTGTAGTTGATAGTTTGGCTAATAGACTTGTGTTGAGACTTGTAGTCCTGATAATATAGGGCAGATACCCTTCAAATCAGTTTACATTTTCTGTATAACCTGTGTTTAGCCAAACTATGTGGCTTCTTGAAGCTATTCCCATTTTGCCAACATTCCCATAGATTAGTCATGTTTTCTCAATACCACAATGATTGTTCCTTTCACTTACGAAACCTAATTTATTATGTTTAAGCTTGGAAGTAGCATAAGACATTTATTTTATGTGTAATATCCAACATGAATAAAGTTCACAAAACAAATAGTAGGTCCGTAAATCAGGGTTATTTCAATTGTGGGTAGGTAAAAAAAAATGTGCAATTGTTTTACAGATGTAAGTTCAAAGCGTGTGGTATAAATATTCCCTTTACACATTGTATTTTTGGGAACTAAGTTCACTGATATTCCCATGCATGTTGTACTGGTACCTATTATTTTTTTCTGGAAAGAAGACCAACTAATTTTTTTTTTTTTTTTAGTTTACCTATTTTTACATATTAGAGGGGAGCAGTTTTTGTGAATTGTGACCTCTGACCTTGTTCATCCCATTTTAGCAACCATTTGTCTTGCATAGAAACCATTTAGATCATGTATGTGTGAATACTACAAACAAATCACAATCGTGCAACACAATCATACAACCCAGTCATATAACACAGTCAAGCAACCCAGTCACACAACACAGTCAAGCTGTCCAGTCATATAACAGTAAAGCAACCCAGTGATACAACACAGTCATACAATGCAGTCATACAACACAGTCAAGCAACCCAGGCACACAACACAGTCAAGCAGTCCAGTCACACAACACAGTCAAGCAGTCCAGTCACACAACACAGTCAAGCAGTCCAGTCACACAACACAGTCAAGCAGTCCAGTCACAAAACTCTGTCAAGCTGTCCAGACATGGTGATACAGATACAGTGTAACTAATGATTTTATCCTTGTTCATTTCACGGCTCTTTTGTTGGGTTTTCATTTGTCACGTGATGTACTTCATATATGATAAAGATTTTCACAAATATTTTAGGGGCTTCACTTTAAAAAATATATATACAAGGGTTCAGGGGCTTAAGGTGAACGCAGACCATGAAGGTAAAAAGAAGAACTTGTTAAAAAATGATCTTTTGGGTAAATCTTTACGTGTCCTTATCCATATTTATATTTCATTTTTTTTTTAAGTTGACATACACAAATTTTTTGAATGTTGACATACACACATTTTTTACATATTTAAATGACCACCTTGAAACAGTTTATAGCTGATGGGTACAGGGGCATGAGATGCATAAAAAAGCATTTATTGTGCTCACTGAAGATGTTTTATACAGCCATTACACTGTAACAACTAAAACCTAACCATTGTCTTTTGTTTTTACTGTAGCTTCAGGTGTGGAAGGGAAGTCTCTAAGTTGAAATGTTTAAAGTTTGAATTGGGCTATGGCATAGAACAATTGTAACACTTTTAGTACATGTTTTGTGAGCAGCACAGTGTGAAGCTCTGGCCGCCGCCTGACATGGAAATGTACTTAATATCATTGACAAAATGTATGGCGTCTCCATTTCTCAGTCTCAAAGTAAATGCTCTCCCATTTAAAAAAATGTCTTTTATCATTTCGGTACTTTCCTTCGCTTAACTTTAAATGTGCCTCTATGGTTAATATGAGGAATAATGTCCTTCCAAAGATATTTCCCCAAGCTACATTCCCAAGTGTACTTCATAGTTGTCAAGCTTAAAATACTTAACTCATTTACTTTAGTTCATCGCTCAAGTATATGTAGTTATAAATTAAATAGCAGAAGAAGAATATCAATAAGATTATACTTCAGACTTGGTTGGAAGTGGAGACCGTTTGATTTGTTTTCATAACTAAATTTTATGTTTGAAATCTAGTTTGATTTCCAACTCCAAAAATTGAACATGAAACTTTAAACCTAATTGAACTGTTAAATGATGATTACAGTAGCGTTGCTCTGAAAATCAAAATGTTATATTATGTTCAGAAAAAGTAAATTGTGAATATTGATTCTGTAAAAAATGTAAATATTTGAAGGACATTAAGGTGTTCCTTTCTGATATTCCTGCAACTGAGTTCAGACTGATCAAGTGTACCATGTAAAGTAAATGATTTTTAAATGAATTTATTGACTGCTATTTTCCATTGATGAGCCATCTAACATGAATAGAACAATTATTTGTTATTACTTACAAAGAAAATATTTTAGGGCTGGTAGATCTCAGTGCCTAAATTCTCAAACTCATTCAAGCCAGTGATAAGACAAAAATAATTTAATACTTGTCCATTCATTTTTTCAAAAATCAGGATGTTACCATTCAACGAATGTTTGCAAAGGTCAGATTCATTTTACTTCGTTTTCAGTCTTTGATGAATCCTTAACTTTCTTTAAAAGGTTAACCTTCTTTAGTGATAGTTTTTAAAAACCTTGTCAATATTTAATTAATTATTAAAAGATTAATAAGTGGGAAATTTTAAGAAATGCGTTTTATGTGTTAGCTATAAAAAACATTTTTTTTTACATTAGCTCGGCTCCTAACTGGAACAAAAAATGTGATAAAGCCATCTATAATGAACAACCTCTGACCCTTCTCATCTACCTCTTTTATTTCTCAGAAATTGTATTGATCTTTTATTCCTATTAAAATCAAAAGATGTTATACATTAGATTCTGGTTAATTAGAACATATTTCAAGAGGAGCGCATTGTGGTTCTGTTCACAGGACACATGAGATATAAAAACATATTGTTACAGTACTTACAGACCTATGCCCTCATGAACCAGAATTTTTTTGTATGATAATAATTTTCAAATTGTTTCTATTTATTTGGGCCACCTTTTACAAAACCTAAGAAAGGTGTAATTAATTGGTGACCTCAGAAATATAATTTGATAAACACATCTTTGCCACTTTAAACAAAGTATTTAACTTCCACTACCAAATTGATTCTTCACCCTAACTTTTTATGATGTCAGTGCTGCTCATGATTACTTTTAGATACCTCTTTGTAAGTATGATAATTTTTCTTATATCTCCCCCCCCCCCCCCCCCCACTTCCCTGGCATATCATTCATATTTCTAGAAACTGCCAATGTACATATTGTAGTCTTAAAGAAAAAGGATTAACTTTATTGATATCATTGATTTAGTTGATGATAAATATTTAAATTTCGTGTAAAAGAGCAAAGGATTTCTTCCAGTGACTGAGTTTTCACAACTTTGACAAATAATGAAGAGGTGCCTAAATATTTGTCATATTCAAAATGATTAACAGACTAAAGGTATTCAAAACATTGAGTTTATTACTAAATTAATTCCAACTTTTTAACTTTGTACTGGTTTGTTTTATGTGAAACTTAGTTTATTGTTATAATGTTATAAAGCAGGAGCCTCTCTCTAACATACATACCTGATGTTGTATGTTAAAGATGTACATGTCCTTCAGGTAAGTCAACTCTATTGCCTACTTTTTGGCATTTTAAAAGAAAACAAATATCAACTGCTGCAATGTTAAAATTGGTTTTTATATTAATTTTTTGTTTTATGTGACTTTGACCATTATAAAAATAAAACACTGTTTTTTTTAGAAAGTATCAAATGATCAGGGGCATCTTTTATTAATCAGGACTCTACAATGTCATCGATTTGTCATAAAATAAGCCATTGTTTTTAGTGAATAATTCTCAAGAAATCTGTGAATAAAACCCAGTCATCCTGGAGACTTTTGCCCTGATGCTGAAACTCTACTGTAAGAATTATAACATGAAAAAAATTTCAAGAACTTTTAAGTTTAGATAAAGTTAATTTTTTTGTTTTAATGCTACCAATTTCCATTGATTATACAACTTGAAATTATGGTGATCTATGGCATAGTACACTAGTACTGTATGTGTATTTAATTTAACTTTAATAGGAACACTGTTAATTATTACTTCGATGAAACAGGTCCATGGTTATTGGATTTATTATTTAATCTCCACGGTTAAGTATTTGCAATGAATGTCTCAACATATTGTATATTCTCATCTATTTATTATGTTCTCAAGAGCTCATTGTGAACACCCTGCAATCCCTCCCCCTCAATGATCCAGATTACCACATTGTTTTCTTCATTTATCATGTCTTTTGTTCATATATGATGGTCAGCTCCATTGTTTATTCCCTCATCAACCAGTAAATCATATATCATCTTTATGTATGTACCTTCTCACCCAAAACTTTTTGTGCAGTAAATATACGAATGTTTTTTTTTTAAATAATAAACTTTTTTATTTGCAATGATAAATTACTTTTTGACACGTTACTGATATTTTATGTGAAATCTTACACTTACCTGTTAAGATTGCAATTGCAGTAAAGTATATTTCAATGTGACAGAGGGAAGATTGTTTCTCTGTTTGTTATACAATCATTCAGTACACTTTTCACACTACATATATTATTACAAGATACACTGCAAAACCTACTTTGAGTTTTAGTCATTCTCTATCTCCAACATTTAAAATAAATTTGTAAAATATTATTGGATTAGTCAACTTAAAAAACTATTGAAAAAAAAAAATAGGCACAAAACAAAAGTAAAAATATAATAATTGACAAATATCAGAGTATCAGTTGTTAAAATCGTGTTCATGTGGTCAGTAGGTTGACCATCAGAAATATAACCCAATAAGATTTCTATTTTGTCCCTTGGGAAAATTATCAGAACTGTTCTTCATGTTGTCAATCTTTGCTGTTTGAGTTTTGTGCTGCACATTTAGTCAACAATGTCAACTGATAAACTTTGTCAACAGTTTTAATCTTTAACATCCCCAAAAAACATAGTTCAAAGAAATTAACAGTCCTCTTTTAGACTACAAAATATATCTGTACCGGTATCTGCTATGTGTAACTAAAAAAATAAGTTGAATGTCAACAGTTCAGTGGATTAAAAGAAACAATTTTAAAATAAGACAACTCTTTTAACATTCAATTTCAAGTTTATTACACAAATAGTACATAAAAATTCATGTCTAATATTGAACAATACTTCTACTGAACAAACTAAGATAGTACATTTGTAATAAATTATAAATACTCTGTTTACATACAAAACTATTAATCATACAAGTACTGAATGTCAGCTCTAAATAAAAAAAAAAATTTAAATTGTGCCAGGTTAAATTCTTAACTTCTAAATGTAACTGGACCAAAGTGAACCAAGGTACAATCAAGTGGAATGTAACCAAAGGGGAATAATTATAAACCTTAATAAATCCAGAATTATTTTTTGTCATTGTCAATTTAATTCAATCTACCAAGTACGCAGTCATATATCAACTAGCTTGACCTAACACACACAAGTACTTACAAAATGATAACAGTATGTTGAAAAAGATAAATGTAATGTATCACCTAAATGATCAATGATGATGAAGCTCTTGTCTGAGACACAGTGACATGCCTTCCAGCTTAAGGACAGGTTTATCATGGGTAGTCATTCAGCTTTGGAATTTTTATATTGTTAGACCAGGTTATCAAAAAATGTTGGGTTTTTTTGGAAGAGAATAATGAAACTTGAGGAGAAACAGGAAATGAATACCTGTGAGATCTAATAGTACAAGGTAATTGTTAATGTATAATACATTATTATGTACAACATAAAATAATAGTTACATAAATAAAACTCTAGATTAACAATTTGTGTTTTTTAACTATAAAGCTTAAGCATACTTATATAATAGTACATTGTCATGATTGGGTTGCTGTTAATCTCAAGATTATCCTGTTAAAAACTTTCAATTTTGTATGCAAAAGAAAATACTTAGGAGAACAAAACTAAATTCAACAGTAGTATACAAGTCTAAAGGTAACTCTTGGTATGTTCATTTTAATGCAATTAAATAGAGTTACAGAATTTAACATTTTGGTTCTCAGATATTAAAAACTCGCTTAGGAAAATGACCTAAGACATCCTTGCTCTCCATGGATACCTTGATTATAATACATAACTTAAATTTATTCAGCACAGGGAAACAGTACATCATCTGAGGTATCATATCTTAATTTCATTCAATCTATTTTTCAAAAATCAAACAATTTAAAATAAGGTGACAGTAAATTACAGCAAAAACATTATAATCTATAAATACAATGTCTGAATCTTCAAACACATCAACATCACAGCTTCTGTTGAGAAATGTGTGGAACACTTTTACGTTTCATTCTCCATACTTGCACTTGTAACCTAAAACAATAGGGAAAATGTGGGAAATTTATAAGTAAATATCATTATAGAACAATAAATAGGAAGGGATGAATGTGTGCTTACAGATTCAAAACTACCTGACCAAATCAAACACGATGTGTCTGTTTATAACTTTTAAGAAATTATAGGAAGAGAGACCCCCAAAAATAAAAATAATAATTTCAATTTTTAAAAACCTTTACATTTTTTAATTTGAAAGAAATGTAATAAATTTAATTTGTAATCCAATAAAATACCTGTAGAATGGCAATGATGAGCCCAAACAAACCAATAGCAGATCCAAAGATCTCAATGATGAGGATTTTGACAAAGAGAGCCCCATTGGCTGCATCAGCAAGGGCAGCACCTGAACCAACAATGCCAACACAGATGCCACAAGCAAGATTGCAAATACCTACAGTCAAGCCAGCTCCAAACATTTTGAATCCTGGAAACAATTATTACATGAATGAGTTGGTTTTTTTTGTAAATATCTCCAAACCCTTGAATTATTTTTTTTTTAAACATATTTTAACTTTTGTTGTTACACAAATCCCTTAATTCAATTAATATATTTTGAAGGAAATATAGTAATGATTTTCAAGCATTAGAGAGGAATGACTATACACCTGCAGCGTAGTTAGCATAAATCTTGTCCTCAACCGTTAGAAGACTCATGTTGACATCCTGGTAAAAAGAATGAGTAAATATTTAAATACACGATTAAATTATTGAAAATTCAAAGCCCTAAATCTTTAGTAATTTTTTTTCTCTAAAATAATTTTTTAATGAATCTAATGACACATAATTTCAAATTTAAACTAAAATAAAAATTGCTATCACCTAAAAAAGTCTTTTATAACACACAGGCTAAAGGCAGGTTTTTAAAAGCACTTACACTTAGATTTGTGCTGATGACAATAGCCATAATGATACCATAAATGGCTACAGCTTCACAGAAAATAATGCTGATCAAGTTCTTAGTCTTAATGCGTGGCGCTTTCACACCACCTCCAGCTATGCTGACACCAGTTGTGTAGATTCCCCTGTGGTACATAAAAATATGGAAGAATTCATTCATTTTTCTCACTAAACCAAATATTCTTAAATGATTACAAAAATCAAGAGGGAAATTTACATAAATTTATAAATAAAAAGTATGTTGAATATTATACTGCACAAAGTTAAAAAAACATTCATCGGAAATCTGGCACACTTGCAGTATGCATTTACAGAGGTAAAAACTAATTGTTTATTATCTCAATTTCTGCCATTGTCTTTTCTATATTTTTTTTTATTTGGTCTACCAACGAAAACTTCTGCGATTATGCTTGATGTTTTGTTCAGCGTTATGTCCAAGCAATTTTTTGCTTAAGAATATTGCTATGATTTGTCATGAAAATTTTGTAAAGTACATTTATCAATGTAGTTTATGCCTGAAATAAATAATGAAACACTTACCATGCAGCCCCCACTACAGATAATGAGATAGCCAAGCCTACTCCAATCAATGCCCACATGTAGGGCGATGTTGAATAAAAAAACCTAAAAAATATATTTTATGATAAATTGAAAAACAATGCACAATGATAATAAGATATGTATTTATTCAACTGCAAATAATTCTTTGACTAAATGTTCTAAATGTTCTAACAGAATAAATATTAAACTTCATTTATTCATGTATAAAAATCACTAGGCCTATAGAATGAGTAATAGTTAACTATGTAATTACCATCCAAAATCAAAACGGGCACCTTTCCCTGTTATCAAATAGTAGATTCCTGAAATAAACACAACATTTTATGCAAATCATTCAAGTTCTTTGAAAAGAGACTTTTTTTTAAAAACAGTATGACATGATCTGGGTGTTTTCTTCATTAGTGTGTTTTCTTCATTAGTGGGACATGATTTGTGTGTTTTATGAGAGAGGAAAATTTGATGTTATGCCAAAGTTTGTAAAGATATAAATCCATCAATAACTAGGATTTACCTAGAGCTATTTCTGATGTTAAGCTATAATTAGTTATTTAAATTTTTACTACAACCTTAAAATGTGAAATTTGAAACTCAGTCTCAATCTCTCTCCCATGCCACCCTCTTTTCTACCTCCCAAATTAAAATACCATAACAAGGATTAGAACACAACAATCCCCAAATAACATGAGTGGGACCTATTTAAATTTGGTTTTAAAAGACTGTATGATAATGTTTGAATAGGCCTATTGGAAAGAACATGATATGACTGTATGACCAGATAAGTTGAACTTCTAACTAAACTCTCTTAAAACAAGTTGTTTTGTCTTCAGCCTTCAGCTTTTTTCAAAATTAAATATGTTGTTGTTTATTTTAAGATTGAGAGCTTCCTCATATCTTATAAATAAATGAAGGGACTGCTTTCAAGCTATGTAAAAGAATGAAATAGTGAAACGAGGTATGTGGAAGCTTGAAATAAGGTAACAGGACAAAAAACAAGGACGTTTCGGCATAAAGCCTTCATCAGCCAACAAAAGAAATGAAAATACAACAAAGAAAAGAACACAGTAGAAAACTCAAGCAGTATTCATTCGTCTCTCCGGAAGTGGGAAAACAGGAAGCGAGAGAATATAAATATTGACACTGTGAAAAATAAAGTCCACAATAATAATGGACCAGAATATCCAGGGATACATCAACAAACAGCAATAAGAAAATAGATGAAATATAGGGAAA